TGTGAAACAGGACATGGCCACAGAGACTTTCCTGGTAAGGTGGCTGAATGGAATCTGAATCAGGATTCTCTCATCCAGAGACCAACAAAATAAGGACAGTGAAGGACTATATATAAAATACATAAGCAGCCATTATACACTGCAAGAGGAATGTTTGAAAAATGTGGAGACTGAGGATGGCGGTGCACCGAGTGGGAGCTACACTGACACTCTCGCAGGACCAAACTGGAATTACAACTAAAATATAGAAAAAACATCCTAAATAATCAACTGCAACTGAAGAGGAGCTGGAGAGCACCCTCCTAACCAAGGACGTAAAGTGGAGACCACATAGGGACTGGGAAGAAGTGCAGAGGCCCGAGAGGGCTGGCTGGGCCCCCACAGGCAGCAGCTGAAGGTCCAGAGGGATAGGATAGCTCAGTTATGGGGGGTTCCGACTGAGGACCCTGGGGCCTAAACCCCAGGCTGGGCTTCCCAGCCCAGAGCACCAGAACTGAGAAAGGTGCCCACACAACAGCTGGCTGTGAAAAGCAATCAGGTTTCTATCTGCCAGGGAGAGGGCTGGAAATGCAGGTACCCTCTTAATGGGCCAGTGCACAACGTTTCATGTGCTGCCACTCACGTTGGGATCCTGCCAAGGGCAGAGTGACTAGAGCTGTGAGAGGAGAATCTCGGGTTGTGGGCTCTGGAGGTAGAGCTCAGAGGGCACCCCTCTGGCTTCCTGTGCCGAGTCATTCCCCCAAACTGCAGAGGCAGACATTTACCCTCCAAGCAGCTTTGCCTGAGAAGGAAGCAATTGCTCCACCTTGCTGGGAAACCTCTCCCCCTACCCTGTGGAATTTTAGGACATCACTGAGGGAGGAGCAGTGTGATAGTTAATTTTATATGTCAACTTGTTATCAGGAAACCCCAGTGGGGTTCGGGCTGTGCTTATTGAGAATGCCGGCCAACCAAGAAGACAGGGAGCATACAAGCATCCAAAACCTGTCTTAAGGAGCGGCCTGAGGGATAGAGTTATATAGGGAAATGGGGCAAACTGTGGTTGGGACCGGAATGCAGCTACGTGCAATCCTGGAAGTCCACAGACGTCATTCTTTTGTTCTTGGTTGTCTGGCGATGTCTCCATAAGGTGTTACCTTGACTCATTGTTCACAGCTGCGTCATCTGCTTAGTTGCTTTTTCCGGGATCAAGGGGAGTGCACAGGTGCAAAGGCCTAGGAAACAGAAACTTAAGAAAAAGGAAATGTAAACCTCTACNTTTTCCGGGATCAAGGGGAGTGCACAGGTGCAAAGGCCTAGGAAACAGAAACTTAAGAAAAAGGAAGTGTAAACCTCTACTCACATAAGTATATGTGTTCTACAATTTATAAGTAATATGATTATATTTCAGATTAATTCAGGTGCTCAATATTTGATAACTATAAGTGCCCCTATCATTTCCCCCTCTGGTTAGGTAAATTAGTTGATACCTATCAACCATATACTATACTAAGTCTTATTCTTATATCTGTCATGATGCTGTAGTTCTAAAACCTTTGCTTCTGCCACGCAGCGCCTGTCCGACTTGGGGCAGACAAACTGGCAGAGGCTGGAGAAGAGAGGCATACATTGTAGACAGCAACACAAAATAAGACAAATGAGTATGAAAAGTAAAAAGACCAGGACTGCTTCCTTTATCCCAGTCCAGCTGGGTAACCAAGAGGTCAGGGCAGCAAACTCAGTAAAGAAGCCTTCCCTTTGTGTGACATGGGAAAGAGTATCCTTGACATTCGATAACTTATGCTCTATGAGTTCAGAGTTATCAGTTAGATTGAAACAGCACATACCCTTAAAATCTTTACACCCCTGATGGTGTCTGAGTAATAGGTAATCAATAGTGGCTTGATTTACTAGGACGGCTTCTCTTACTTGCCCTAGTTCCTGACCCATAGCTGCTATAGCCTGGGAGGTAGAATTTAGAGCTTTTACCATAGCACAAGCCAAGTTAGTTACTTCAGCATTCAATAATCCTACCATCACTGGAGTGACAAATACAGTCATAGGGATATATTCAGCCTGGCTAAACAGATGTACTTCACCATCGCAGTTTTCATCTAGTATGAGCTCAGGGCGCACCCACGGAGGGTGAGGCTTCTGTGGCAATATTACAGTCAAGTGTCCAATTGTGCAAGGGCCCCCAGCACTATTCATAGGTACATAAAACTATGCTGTTAAACCACAGAGTAAGAAAGAGTAAGAACCAACCAGGGGGAATGTGAACATACCCATTTCCGTAAGATATAGAGGAATTTTCTTTTGTACTGTTCAATTGCTGCTGATTTTTCAAAGACAGTTTCCTGTAGAAGCCACCCCTGCTATTTTAATAGAAACATAATACGTTTTCTTTCAACAACAACAGGGCAATTGGTAGCATCTGGCGACAGTGCACATGAGTCTCCTGACATAGTTTTGGCTCCCAACCTTTCCTGAGGCCAAGTGTTATCTCTACAGAGGAAAGGTCGGGGGTTGAAACCACATGACCAGTGATATGCTAGGACAGGCACTAGTGGTGGGGATGTCCCACCCTATCCTACAATTGCCCTTTGCTAGACACCTGGGGCTTTCCACCCTGATGACCTTGAGTACCTGGCCCCTTGTCCTTGCTCTGCTAGCGCCTGTCTAAAGGCCTGCTACATCCCCCTCAAGGATCTTGGCTCTGAATTGTTTCAGAGAAGATGGGCACAGAGTCTCTTCTTATAGTTACTTCCTGCTGAAAGGGGGTGACGTTTTCCTTCAGAGCCAAGAGATCCTTGCTCTCCGTGAGAGGGACAATGTGGCCTGGGCACAAAAGGAGATGGTCGTGGTATCTAGAGGTGGTTTTCCCTGAGTATGAGTAGTGGCGACAAACTGTGTTATAAATTTTAGTATTATTGGGTCAAAGCTAGAACAACAAGAATTATGACAAATGGTCTGGTGGAAGGAAAAACAAAACAAAACAAAAACTAAACAAAACAAAACATTTCAGTTCTAATATTTCCCTATTGAAACAATTTTTCCCCCTAAAATCACCTTCATTTTATTAAAGAGCCAAATGAAACCAATCTCTTTACTGTATCATTCAGTTTCAGTTTGGCCTGATTGTATGTATGAATCCAGTAAGAATAGCACTTGACCATATATGCTTTTTAAAACCTGCTTTGCTGGAATCTCATGATTGAGCTTTAATTAGCCCCTCAGGGCAAAGAAGCCAGCTCCCTAGTTGCCATCAAGTTTTGCCTGCAATATCTATAGACTTGAGTGAATTCCTGAAGTTCTTAAGGTACCAAAAATGTCTTGAGGTTCTTTCCTTGCCATCTCCCAGGAGAGCAACCTTTGTCCCTTACCTGGAAAGACTTTCATGAACCATCTAACCAAGCAAGGTACCAGGCTTTCTCCAAGATGTTCTTATTGGCTTCAAAGTCAGTCTTCATTTTCTTGAGGCTTTCTGCTGACATCCAGAGTCCAGGCATTTCTCTCTCAGACATGGCATTCCAGTCCAAGTCTTGGTTAATAAAAACCACAATTGAAAACTGGTCTTATTGAATTAATGCAATGAAACATATTGACATGACTCACTCATTAAGAAATTGCCAAATTCTAGAGAGATCAGAATTTCTCTAGGGAGAAAAATATAATTTACCTAATTGCTTTAAGAAAAGTAACAAGTTTCCTTATGTCTGAAAAATAGAAAAATTAGAAATCAGAAATAATTTTAACAAAAGTTACAAAAACTATAATTATTTTCAGTTCATTCAGCCCCATAATCAATTTTTGTTTCTCTTTATTTTTCTTGCCAGTACTTCTATAAATCCAGATACTCTGTAGATTTCTAATAATTCTCATCCAGTTCGAAGGAGATGATCTGAAAATTTATTCTCAGAGATATGTAATTTAAAATAAGTCAGAGTCCTTTCTATGGATCCCTCAGACGATGTGACATTTCTGCAAGTGCATTACAATAAAACGGTGACTGTCTCTATATAACAAGAAGAAATTTTAAATGATGTGGTATGGATTTGATTATAATGCAGTTGACATGGAATCCTGTCCTTTCTACAAAACACAATGTTCCAGAATAACAGTTAGAGTTATAAATGAAAGTATGTCAGAATTTATAGACTCCTGGAGATTTTTTTACATCTATTTGGATAACATGTATATATAAATAAAATATAGTTATTATTTCTTTACTTGACAAAGCTTCCTTGTACCTTAAATATGAGCTTTTCCTTCATAAGGAGAGAAAACAAAATCCTTGAGGCATTCCAGGGCCTATTGGGATGACCTAAAGCCAATTCTGGGTCAGGAAAAAGTTTCTTAAAATTCAAACCCTGGGAAGGTTATCAAACTTATTTGACCAAAAGATCATATATTACTGTTATTAACAGCATTAGAGTGTTTATGCATTCAAAGTGACAATAAGAGAGAGTAAATACAAACGTAGGCTAGCAAAACTTCAGTTTCTAAGATTAGGAAGATGGCTTTTTTAGTAATCAAGTACCTGATTAATATAACTGTTTCAATAATTTATAAAACTTCCATATCCTAGGCAAATACAGGAAAGACTTTTCCTTTCAAATGTATCTCTATATCTCATGCCTTCTTTTACTAAAACTATACAATTTCTTTCCAATTAATTAGGATTCTTAACTCTTAGAAACCTTAATTTTTAGGTGACAGGTAATTAACATAGCTCAGGTTAGCAATACATTCACATTTTTTAAAAGATATATTTCAAATAAAATGCCAGACATATTCATTAACAGATTCAAATTCATCCTCTAGATTCTCTGTTATAAGCCAAAAGTAGGCAACTCAGATTAGCATTTCAGTGTCCTGTTATTTCAAAATACCTAGATATTTAATAATTTCTACTATTTAATGTAGCAAAACTGCAATCTTAAGTTACCAAAGATTTTGGAAAACTGTGTGTGTGTGTATGTATATATGTACATATATTCATATATATATATATATATGTAAAAGCCTTTTTTTAAAGACCCTTTGTCTCAATTATATCTAATTTATTATGTTTCAACAACCTTGAGATTTTAAAGCCAATTATTATTTCCTAAGGCATTTTCTTGGCAAATTTTGTAACTTCTGGGCCTCAGGCGGCTTTAAAGTGAAAATACCTTTTTTTTTCCTTTACAGAGTGGATGTGGCCCTTCCCTCTACCTGAGGACATTTCAGCAGCTCTGGCCTTTCTGGGAGAAAAACTTGGGGGTTTAAAAAGATTTATTTCCCATATTTTTCTTTCTGAGTAGAATATAATAATAAGAAATCTTATACATAATAAGAGATCTTGTCCTATTTTAAAACAGAAACAAAACAACTCCTAAAGTAAAGGAAGGAAACTCTCAAAAGGAGGGACTGGGACAGGAGCCTTAGAATCTTTCTCTCACACTAACCCAGCTCAGCAGCAAAAGACCTTCATTCTGAGGGGCACACAGCCCAGACAGCAGGCAGGATTGCCAGTGTCCACAAATAGTGAAGGGCAGACTAAGTCCCTAAAAAGACAAAAGCAAGCAAAGAACATCTACAACCAAAGTCACATTGCAGACAGAAAAAACTCTCACTAGTTAAGCATTTCAGGCCGCTGATGCCCTGAGAGGAGGAAAGGGCAGCAAGTTCCTGCAGTCCCCTCCCCCTGCCCGGGTTCAGCCGGCCACAAGCAGCTGGGGACTCCAGCAAAGTGGGATGTGCTCCCATCTCACTCCCGCTGCCATCTGCTTTAATGTGAGGCTGCCTGTTACCTCCACCAACCATGGAGGCCCCAAGGCCCCTTGTTTTCCCATCTAGTGGGTCGTTTCGATCCACTCCCAGCATGAACGCACTGATGCTCTTGGAAGCACATTTATTGTCTTAAGGACACTCCTACCACCTTTCTCTCTGGTTGTTTTTCTAATGTATGACCGTTCTGCCTCGGTTTCCCTTGTAGCTCTTCTCTCCCTTCCCATTCAATGTTTAAGGGCCTCACAATCAAGTTTATGCATCTTTGTGACTCTACACTGTCTCCCCACATGACCACCTATGTTCCTGGCTTACAAAGGACACAGACGGACCTTCACCCATGGCATTTCTCATAACTGGCAAACTCAATATCCAACTGCCAACGGACCTTGCACCTAGACGTCTACCAGTCACTTGTAGCCTCTGTCTGCTGCTTTCCATCGCATTCCCTGGCTTCCTTCACTGTAGCTGCTGGTGAGAGAATTCATTTGGTTTTCCTTCTTCTCAATATGGCATTTAACATAACTGATGTTGATTTTGATTGTTTTTACGTTTTTCCCTCCCCAGACTCAAAGATACCAGAGAGCAAGAACTGTATTGGTCATGATCACCTCTATATCATGAGGGCAACACACAGCCTGGCTTCGGGAAAGTCCATAGGTACTTACCATTTGAATGTAATATGGTGGGTAAATGAATTGTGCCACCCATTTTTTAAAAAATATATCTTTATTGATTTCAGGGAGAGGAAGAGAGAGAGATGGAGACATCAATGATGAGAGTCATTGATTGGCTGCCTCCTGCCCGCACCCTACTGGGCATGGAGCCCACAGCCCGGGCATGTGCCCTGACCAGGAATCGAACCCGGATCTCCTGGATCGTAAGGGGATGCTCAATCACTGAGCCACACAGGCCAGGCTGCCATCCATTCTGTAATCGAGGTGCACAATCTGGCATGGTGTTCCTTTTTAGAATAAACAACTAAAATGTTTACTGCGGCCAACATTTAATATATGCAAAAAATCATAAAATGGCTAACTATAAAGAATATATTTTTTATAATAACACAATATAAAGGTGCCTGTACCTGATATTATAGGAGAAAAAACAATTGAAATCTTATAAATAAATAAATAATTGAGTATTAAATAAACACATACACACAACAGCATGGACCTCTGTAAATCACTAGTGCCTATAGAGTTGAAACTGATGTGAAATAATATTTTTGAAAAGGTGACAAATTGATCTATCTGTACTTTATTTATATCTGTGTTTTATGCATAAAGAAGAAAGTGTAAATAAAATTTAGTTATTTTATTCAGTAAAGGATTAAGAATGGATAAATTAAATGTTAAGCTACAATTACATTTAAAAGTTATTGTCAGTTAATGTAATATCATTAAAATATTGATTTAATTGACATTGGATTTAATTCTTTTTAAATATGTTTTTCTTGACTTGAGGGAGAGAGGAAGGGACAGGGATAAAGAGAGGACCATTGGATGAGAGAGGCTGCCTCTGGCACCGATCCCACAACCCGGGCATGTGTCCCGGTGGAAAATCCAGCCAGAGGCCTCTTGGTTTATGGGTCGATGCTCAACCACTGAGCCACACTGGCTGGGCTCGATCATTTTAATTCAAGTTACTTTAACTTTCTACATAAGTTTGAAGAGCAACTTTTAATGTCATACATATTGCTTATAGAAATGGTAATGTATCCAATTATGAATTAAAGTAAAAATTTGTGTAACACTTCAAAATAATACGAATGTATAGAAAAAGTTTAAAATCATTCAAACTGTTAAACACCATTATAAACTTAATTTATTATTATTATTATTTTTGTTAACCCTCACTATAAGGTATTTTTTCCATTGGTTTTTCGGGAGAGTGGAAGGGGAGGGAGGGAGTGGGAGAAGGGAAGAGAAAGAGAGAGACAGAGAGAGAAAGTGGATTGGTTGCATTCATCACCCCCCACCCCGCCACGACCCAGATATGTGCTCTTGACAGGGAATGCGGCCTATATTCTAACGACTGAGCCACACTATATAGTTTATAAATATTAAATAAATATCAATGTAAATTTTAAAAAATATTTTAACGCTAAAACTATTAAAACATTGTATTAAAGTTTAAAATATTTAAATATTTTAATATTAAAAATATCAATGTAAGATTTCAAAAATGATAACGTTAAAACATCACTCTATTAGAATTTTTAAAATGTTTATTTATCTTAATATTAAATAAATATCAACGTAAAATTTTTAATTTTTTTAATTTTTTACATTCAGACCATGAAAATAGCATGTATGAAACTTCAGCTTTATTTAAACTATGTTTTATTTATACCAAAACAAGAAGTTAATATAATTGTACTTTCTTGGCTTTTAAAGAAGCAAACACATTAGCATTTTCTTTTTTCTTTATTTCCTTATTTTTTTAGAGAGTGGGAGAGGGAGAGCTAGACACATCCCCTGCCTGCCCCGCACAGCCCCTGCCGGGCATGGAGCCCGCAGCCCCCCTGGGCCTTATGCGCCCTGACCCGCAGGAGCAGGGGCCTCGGGGCCTGCGGGGTGCGCAGCCGCTGAGCCACAGCCCCGGGGAAATGGCTTCTTTCCAGGTGAGAGCATCGCCCGGTTGGACGTTTTCTTGTGGCTCCGTGACAACATGGAATCACTTTTAGCCTCACGTTGCTGAAGCGTCGTCACGGAGCCCACCCGGAGCGTATTGTGAGAAACAGATTCGTGCTGCGTGCGAGCGCTTGAGGGTCTTTAGCCGTCGGATCTTCTCACTTTCTCTGCTTAGAATTTTGTAGACGGAATGGGCTCTGCCAGCATCACCTCTGCACCGCGCCTCTTCCTTCCCAGCCTCTCAGGGACTCGCAAGGGGAAGGTCATTGCATGTCTTTAGGATTTTGGTACTTTGTTGATCACGGATGTTTTGGCATTAATACTTAGATTTACTATTGCATGAAAGTATTGCGGTGCCTTGTTAACTGCTGTGCCTGAGGGAAGTACTCTACCCTGTTACTGACCCTGGGACAAGCTTTGTTTTATTCTCTGTATTTGGCTAATCCTCACTGGACGATATTTTTTCCACTGTTTTTATAGGGGGGGAGGTTGGGAAGGAGGAAGAGAGAGAAAAGAAACATGAATTGGTTGCCTCCTGCCCTCGGCCCCCGGGGACCAGGCTGCCACCTACCACCATGGGTGCGATCCCGTGACCCTCAGGTGCCTGGACCCACGCTCTAACCACGGAGCCACCCGGACCGGGGCCCAGGGAAATAGCTTTGAATTAGTGTTTGGATCTTCAGTGGCTGAAAATCGAGGTATGTCCTGTTTCTTATCACCATCACCACCCAACTCCTTTTCGTTTGTTTGTTTTTGTTTTCTGCGCCTTCAAATAATATCACCAGGGGTAGCCTGAATCTGAGGATGAAACAGGGATTGTTCAGCTCCTTTCTCCCATTCACAAAAAGCAATGTTTTCCGAGGAAACTTTCCTCCGTGCTGGTTCTCTGCAAAGTGTACTCTGAGACCTCTCTCATCACTGTGCCTGGCAGGGATCTAAGGGTGGAAACGGGGGCTCTGTTCCTTCACAGCCCTATGGACAACCCCTCTCCTCCAGTAGCCATTGGCTTGGGGAGCTCAAGAGGTACCCCAGAGTGTTAAAGAAGATGCAGCCAGAGCCCCGCTTGGCCTGGCTACGCCGGGTGGAATGGGCACCATTCAGGTTATTGTGTGTTACGTGAATCCGAGAGCCAACTCTCATTCCCTGTGTTCTGATTCTCAACCTGTAATTTGCAAATATTATTTTATGTAATATTTACATTTCCTGTGTGACCATCACTGAAGTTGTCTCAGTTTTTTAGAAGAGGAAATGAAACTCTTGATGTCATTTAAATTCAGGAGCCACAGACCGATTTTATCAGAAAATGAAACTTTTATATGAGAGAGTATGTAGGTCCACTAAGAAACCAGACAGCATGGCCTACTGCCTTAAGAATATCTTTCCCAGGGCTTGTTAAATTTCAAAACAAAAATGTTCTCTGCCTGGCCTACTCAGGGGTGATAGGAAAATGAATAATAATAGTTTAGCCTTCCTTTCAGCTGGAACCACCATCTGCCTGTAATTCGCCAAAATGTCCAACACAAATGGAAAGAGGAGAGGCACCCACTATATGTTCTCTAGACCTTTTAGAAAACATGGAGTTGTTCCTTTGGCCACATACATGCGCATCTACAAGAAAGGCGACATTGTGGACATCAAGGGAATGGGCACTGTTCAAAAAGGAGTGCTCCACAAATGTTACCATGCTGAGTCTACAGTGTCACCCAGCATGCGGTGGGCATTGTTGTGAACAAACACGTTAAGGGCAAGATTTTTGCCAAGAGAATTAATGTGCATATTGAGCATATTAAGCACTCTAAGAGCCAAGGGAGCTTCCTGAAACGGGAGAAGGAAAATGATCAGAAAAAGAAGGAAGCCAAAGAGAAAGGGACCTGGGTTCAACTGAAGTGTCAGCCTGCTCCACCCAGGGAAGCGCACTGTGAGAACCACTGGGAAAGAGCCTGAGCTGCTGGAACCCATTCCCTGTGATTTCATGGCATGATAAGTGTTAAAAAAAAAAAAAGACCTCTGTGCTGATAAAAATGTTTCTCTTAATTGGGTAGAAGTGTAGTATCCCTTCACCCCCAAAAATAATTTTAAAAATAATTAAAAAAAAAAAAGTTTAGGCTCTAGAATCAAGTGGGCTGTTTGTCTTCATTAACAAGATGACAGGAAAACTCAGGAATTAAGGAAAAATATTTTGACTCTTGTGATGCTGAAATTCACTGATTTTGACTGATACATGTGGTCTAGCAAAGGGCTTATTTCACCCCCCCTTTCTGACTGATCCCTATGAAATGAAGGATTGATGCAAATCTTTAGACCAGGTGCTGCTTAGGGAACAATTGGTTCAATGGCCTCCATATTCTTTCAAAAACTAAATAAAAATTACTTTAAACATTTCATCAGGATTATATCTGGGGGAACCAAACACAAGCATGTCTCTCCCGTAGCCTCATCCTACTTCTTGCAGATTCCTTTCTCTCATGAATACGCGATGCCTGCAGATGGGGCCGTGACTCCCCTTGTCTGTGATTCTGCATGTGTGATTTGTCCTGTGAGCACAGGTAGCAGGTCTTCTTTCCTAGGAAGGGGTTGAGAGTAAGTGTACATGGCAATTTCACCTCTGTCATGTATGACTCGAACTTGAAATATCTAGGCACAGTGTGAACCAGCGTGTGGTAGGTGCCAAATGAATGATGCCACGTGTCATAGTTCAGGCTGCTGTAGAAAAGCCCCATGGACCAGGAGGCTCATAAACAACAATTTACTTGTCCCAGTTCTGGGGGCTTGAAGGCTGAGAGCAGGGCTGCGGCTGGCTGAGTTGGGTGGAGAGCCCCCCTCAGGGCTGCGGCTGGCTGAGTTGGGTGGAGAGCCCCCCTCAGGGCTGCGGCTGGCTGACTTCTCTTTTAACTTCACATGGTGGAGAGCAGAGGGGAAGCCAGCAGTGAGTCTCATAAAGGCATTAACCCCATGGTGGGGGCTCCACCTTCCTAACTTCGTCTAATCTGAGTTTCTTCCCAAAGACCCCTCCTCCTAATACGTCACTGCATGTACTAGACCATCGCTGCTTTTCCTGGGAAGCCCTACTTCTAGCACATTGATGTCCTTTTATAGACTCCTACCTCCCTGATTGCAAATTCTCTTCCCATTGGTCTTTCACCTCCAAATCTGTAGATTCATTGACTAAAAAAGCATTTTGACTGATACATGTGGCCTAGCAAAGGGCTTATTTTGTAATTAAAAGCATTTTAATTACATGATAAACAAAATGAAAGTATCCACTGGCAATTATTTCTTAGAGCATCGTGACTAAACTACAATAGTCGACAAACTTTAGTAAGAAATATACGATAACCATATTTACTATATCCCGGGTGATTCCCATGTATTGCTGAGTTAACTCTCACCATAAATGGACGAGATACCTGGGAGACAAGACCCATGAGAGTTAAGCCTCTGCGCCACAGAGTGCTTTGAATGACAAACATTTCAGTGACTCCTCTTAGAAAACTCTGAGCTAGTGGCTCTTGTGGATTAAAAGGAGTAAATACATATGTTACCAACGTACATGAATGTGGGCCATGATTGGAGACATAAGATGGCATTTGGGAATGGGTGAAACGTGAGGGATGGGGCAGAGCAGCAGCCTTGCCATCAGTGAAGAGGCTGAAGTGTTCAGAAATTCAGAACCTCACCAGGACCTCAGTGAAACAGAGGGACCAGCCCTGCTGCTCAGAGCTCAGTGCTCCCTTGGCTGCGCCTCAGCTGCAGGAAGGGGGCGCCCGAACCGGCTGTAAGCGCAATGGGAGCTGCCAGCCCAGCCAGGCCTGCCTCCTGCCAGAGCCTGGGATTTGGGAGCCAAGTCCTCCTGGAAAACCTGAGCTTCTCCTTCAGCAGGACCTGCTCCTGAGGTGACCTTTCCTTCCTCGGAGACCGTTTTAGCCAGACCGGTTCACATAGGCGTTATTTATTTAGGGAATGCCCTCTGGAAATCAGATTCAGGATTGTTTCTGCGAGGAAAGACAGGAATTCAGGGAAAGGGGAAAACATCTATAATCTGAACACCAATATCTCTCTCTATATGATTTTATTAAATTTTAATGGTTAATTTCATCTACAATGTAAAAGAGTTGAAAAATATTGAAAAATGGGTGTATAAAAACTCACTATTTTAACTTTATTTTATTTATGCCCAAACCAGAATTTGTTATAATTTCCTGGGCTTTGTTGAAAGCAAATTTACCCATAACATTGTCAGAATTCTTGTTTTGCTTATCTCATTTATCATTGAGAGAATTGCCATTTTAAATAATTTAATTTTGGCAGACTGAAAGTTTCAGAGAGGCAGCATATATATTTCTGATTTACATTAATTCTTTTTCTCTATCTTGTCCCTAATGTATTTCCAAATTACAGGAGATATTCTTCCTGTCCCACAGTTTGACAATATGATTTTATGACAGCCCAATATTTTGATATCAATTTTTTGTTGTTGGCAACTATGGTAACCTCTTTCTATTTTAACAAAATCAAAAATTTTCAAGTACTTCTGTATATATGGAGACTAAAAAGTGACCAAAAATTTTTACTATGAAAGCTTTAGCATCATAGGTAAGCAAATCATACCCCTGCTTTCCAGTGTTGTATGAAAGGTGCCCAGGATATTTAGCAAGTAAGCACATTTCAGTTTCTTCGTTGAGAAATTTATAGACTGAATGGGATTTATCAAAATTTAACTTTGTACTTTTCCCCCTCACCCCTGGCCCCCAACTTGTATAAGTCTCAGGTTTTTGTAATTGCAGGGCCAGATCTTATCTTTAAATTTTTGATTTTTCAAATGAAGGAT